GCAATTGACTCAAGAGGGCCTTGTTCCTTTAGTCGAGACTCAAGGTCTAGTCAAGGATTCTCCGCATTGTGAATGAAGTGAAACAAGTTAGAAATCATCGATCGTTAATCTGGCTAGTGGCTAGGGGGAATCATACCTAAGTGAGTTCCCAACCTGTAATTAGATTAACTTTAACTGTAGTTTGCTAGAGTAGTTTTAGTTCTTTCATCTTGATTTGTTTTGCTAGATAATGAACTGAACCTGAGTAATAGTAACTCTAGAGACCCGTGGATTCGATATTTATTACTTGAGCCACTATACTGCAGTCCCTTTCATTGGTTACACTTGGCCATTGTTAGGAGTTGTGTTTTAGCGAGTCAACAAGCGACCAAGTACCATTGGCAATCAACGCATCGATCTCTCGCTGCATGGCGTCACGCCTATGTTTATGTCGAACCGCCTAAGCAAAGGTGGTTAGCTCTTCAACAAAAGTAACAGCCGCAACAAACGCATGGTGCACAGAGGAGAGACGATCGTAGCTAAGAAAATCCTCAAGAGGATACTGAACTTAAGCTGAGTTTGCAGCGCCAGGAAGCTCAACATCATAACCATGGAGCCGAGTTGAGCAAGTGCGGACCCGATCACTCCTATGGAGAATGGGATCAGGCTGCAATGGAGGATCGGCCTCCATAGATGGGACGGTGCCCAGAGCGGGAGAAGGCGAAGGAGAATGCTCTGCTTCTTCCTTGTCGTCAACTAGAGGAGCAGGGGAGCTGAGCCGCGGAGGAGAGCTGCTCGTCTCTGCATGCAGCTCATGCAACATGGGAGAAGGAGACGCAGCTTCTTGGGAGTCACACACGTCCGCAGCACCGGAAGGAGTAGAAGGAGAACGTACAGGAGCAGCTTCCTCGATAACAGGAGGAGAAAGACCAAAATGAGGACGAGAAACCACCTCTTTAGTGAGTGATGCAACCTGGCCAAGCTCACGATAAGGAAAGGCCTCTTCCAAAAACCGAACATCCCGAGAAGGGCCTGGGCAGTATCTAAAAGATGACGATGCTTGCGCTCGACTACTCCATTTTGCTGTGGAGTATCAGTGCAGGAGGTCTGCAAAACAATGTTGTACTCCTCATAATATGCAGTCAAGGTGGCAGTGGAAAACTCCGGACCATTGTCGGCCTGGATACGACAAACCTGTTTAGCAAACTGAGTGGGAACAAGGTTGCAGAAGTACAGTAAGTAGCGACCAACGTCTGACTTATGACGCATCAAGAAAACCCAAACAGCGCGACTATAGTCATCAACGATGGTTAAGAAATAGTGTGCACCAGAAGTAGAAGCTGTCTTATAACTGCCCCAAATATCAATGTGAATAAGCTCAAAAACCGATTTGGTTTTAATAGTACTAGATTCAAAAGAATTCCGAGTTTTCTTAGCCCGCAAACAAGACCGACAAGGCTCACGTGACTGAATAAAAGAACAATCAACTAATCGCTCCAAAATGTTAAGCTTCGCTGATGATGGATGACCCAACCACGCATGCCACAACTCCGTATCACTGAGAGAACGACGAACAGAATGCGCCACCGGATGCGCGCCATCAAGCAACTTAAGGTAGTACAACCCATCAACATGCTTACCCATCCCAATTATCCTCTTTGAGGGTAAGTCCTGAATCACATAGAAGTCATTCAAGAAGATTAAGGCAACCTGAAGATCCGCTGTCAGACGACTGACTGAGAGCAAGTTACACCGAAAATCAGGAACATGTAGAACACGACCCAAGGATAAATCATGAGATAATTTGCTAGTTCCAATATGATGAACCTTAACCCCTGTGCCGTTAGGAATCTTAACTTGTAAATTCGGAGACGAGTCCAACTCGGCATCCAAAAGAGAATAATTATTAACTATGTGTTCCGTACAACCGGAATCAATGACCCAAGTAGAAGAGCCACCAGAGAACTTACCCGCCATGTTCGAGGAAGGCTCAAGGGGGTGGAAGCTTGCTTCAAATCACTCAGCATGAGCGACCGGAGTTGGGAGAATTGAGCTGTGGAGAGGCCCGGCAGAGGGTTGCTGTCCGAGTCGACCTGCGTTGCTTGCGGGTCTGGTCGAGCCCCCTTCTCGTTGCGACGCTTCGACGGCTCCCCTTTGTCACCAGTCTTCGACGGGAAACCAATGAGACGATAACACGTCTCGCGAAGATTCCCAGTCCACAAACAGTGTGTGCAGCGGGGCTTACCATCCGGATCACGATCGCCACGATCACGTTCACTCGAAGGAGAGGAACCAGCAGCATGTCTCTCCCCCTGAGCTTGGAACACCGCAGCTTCAGAACGCGGACGACGGCTGTGAGAGATTTGGCGTTGCTGCTCGTCGTTAATGACAAGTTGGTATGCTTCGCCAAGTGTAGGAACTGGCTTCATGGCAAGGATTTGAGACTTGATCGTGCTGAAAACATCATCCAAACCCATCAAAAAATCAAAGAGTTGCTCCCCTTCACGAACCTCACGTTGCCGACGCTTCACGTCGCAATGACAGCCCGCGCAGGTACAATCAAACGAAGGTTGAATAGACTGAATTTCATCCCAATGACCTCGGAGTTTGGTATAAAATGCCGATACTGACATCTTTTCTTGCTGAAGACTGATAATGGTGTGCTTGAGCTCATAAAGGCGAGATGCGCTACCTTGTCCAACCTGAGATTGCAAATCCACCCAAATTTCACGTGCGGTATTTGCTAAACGAACACTATTACGTACCTCTTTAGACATAGGCGTCTTAAGCCAGCCCTTAACCATGGCGTTGCAACGTCGCAAATCCTCTCGCTCACCCGAAGTGACAGCCGGCGGCAGAGTACCATCAACAAAGCAGATTTTGTTCTTTGCGACGAGCGAATCCGTGATATCAACCACCCACTCGCCATAATTAACATAGGTAAGTAGTTCCCCAACAAAGAGATTATTAGGGCTCTCAGATTGGTGAATCTGAAGATGGGACGGGAGACTAGCCTGATCATCAGCGGCCGACTTCAACTGGGAAGACTCAACGGCCGACTTGGATTTGCTAGGAGAATCATCGTCCGAATCAACCATAATTAGAAACTGTGGATCTCTTCACAGCTCTGATACCATGTAAAAAACGATAAACTCGGAAGCAAAACACAATCACAACACCAACATTTACATGGTGTCCCCGTACGAATCGTACGAGACTAATCCATGGAGAGGCTGTACCTCTCGGCTGAAGTTTCACTAATCTGGGAGTTCCCTCTCTTAGGGTTACAGCCGAACACAATAAAGGCTATTTATAGCCAGCTTCCCTTCACAAGCTACGTGGGAAACAAAACAGCAACAATAACAAAATGGTCCTTGATAAAAGTAAAGAGTACAGAAGAGAAGAGGACTCCAACAGGATCGTTACTCATTTATTTAATAACTCGAGATAAATACATATATACTATATGCAATCTAGCATAAAAGGTGACGACCAGGGGCGGACCTACGGGTGTTTGGGGTGTCCCGGGACACCCCTAAATTTTGGGAAAACGATTATCCAATCCCGGGTGGTAATTTACGTATTGACAACAAAATTATAATTGATAGTCGGGGACACCGCTGAAATTTAAAAAAGTGATTATCCTACTTTCATCTTTTAGTTTGAGTATGAGAATACAAGTGGTAGTTTGGGTAATTCAAACCTAGGACACTTTTATTATTGATAAACATCATTTCCATTAGGCTACAACTCATATGTTATTCGATTTTAAACACTGTGTAATAGTAAAATGTCATTCTCTATCTCTAATTATTTTCAAAATCTAACAATTAAACAAATTTCAAGCTACCCTTAATTTGTATTGATTTTATGGTTGTACGACAAGTGTTGAAAAAGTCTTTTTAGCTTTGGATTACATCAAGAACAAGTTTAGAAATCGAATATGTGATCAGTTCGTGAATGATTGTCTAATATGATATAGAGAGACAATTTTTTTGAACAGTGTAGACCTCAAGTGTGTCCTACAATCATTTTCGAATATGAAAACATATCGTGAATTTTTTAAGTTGTATGAGTAAGGTATTTCTTATTTAAATATTATTTATTAATTATTAATTATTTGTATTTAATTTATTTTTTAAAAGAGAACACCCCTATGTAAAATTTCTGGGTCCGCCACTGGTGACGACTATCTAGCTGGTGGAATTGTATAGGCTTATTCATTGAAAATAAATTGTAGGCTATTGTGGATTGATTGAGTTTAAATTATTTTATACAGAATTAGAAAGATAATTTACGAGGAGGATCATCTCGCTGCTGCTGCGAAGCACGGGCTACTTAGTATAATTTAAGTCGGTCACATAATAATTCAAATGGTGTCGGAGCATTTTATTGATGTGCTCACCTGCCCATTATTTTCCACATGCAGGGAGGGCCGACCAAGGATAGATACAACCTAACCCGAGTATAGCTTAGCTGCTACCGACTTTCCTGCTTTTTTCATCAATAATATTATATACATTTTTTTTTTTTTTGCTTGTTCAGAAAATGACCTTAATTTTATTTCTATTTCTCCTTGTCGGTTTTCTGGCTATAAAATAACACACAAGTACCGCTTCCCCCATGCGCTGCTGCACACACTGCCAACTTCATTTTCCCTTTCTGGTTGATAAAAGATAAAATCAGGAAAGGAACGACGACAAGCTTGAAATAGGGTGAACAATGGCTACCGCCCAGCTGTGTATATCACTTGTACTTTTGCTGCTCTGCTTCAATGGCTCTGCTCTCGCTGCCAAATACTTGGATCGTAAGTTCTTTCAACTTCCATGACCACACCTCAAGGATCTGCTATTTGCGCACCACCTGTTTGCTGTTTTGCCTGAACCCTTCCCTTCCCTTTGCTTTGCTTTGCTTTGCTTGAGATCTGTTAGTTTTTGGCTCATAACACCAACACCTTCTGCGAGATGTTGTGTGCTAATAATAAGGCTTTCCATGGCCACATTCTGTTCCGCAGCTCAAAGATCTGATATTTGCACACCACCTTTTTGCTGTTTTGCCTGAACCTTTCCCCCTTCCCTTTGCGTTGCTTTGCTTGAGATCTGTTGGTTTTTCGCTCATAACCAACACCTGCTGCGCACATTTACCTCACTACTCTTCCATTTAATTGGGTAGTTATGATACTTGCTTTTTCTCCCCCCACAGGTCTGCTGAACAATGGAAACTTCGAGCAGAGCCCAAAGCCTGGTGGCTTGAAGAAAACGGTTATCCAGGGCAACAAGGCGCTCCCCGGGTGGGAAACCAATGGGCTGGTGGAGTACATCTCTGGAGGGCCACAGCCGGGAGGGATGTACTTCGCAGTGGCTCATGGTGTTCATGCCGTCAGGCTTGGGAATGAGGCCTCCATCTCCCAGACCATAGCAGTGAAGCCTGGCTCTCTTTATGCGCTCACCTTTGGTGCCTCCAGAACCTGTGCTCAGAACGAGGTGCTGAGGGTTTCAGTACCCCCGCAGACCGGAGATCTGCCCCTCCAGACCTTGTACAGCAGCAATGGCGGAGACACTTATGCTTGGGGGTTTAGGGCCAAGGGCCGTGTTGTCAAGGTGACTTTCCATAACCCTGGTGTTCAAGAAGACCCTGCTTGTGGCCCTCTCATCGATGCTGTCGCCATTAAGGAGCTCTTCCCTCCATTCCCCACCAGAGGTAAATACATATTAATTGCTATTATAGATGAAAATTGGGTCCAACTTTGTATGTTGCCATTGGAAGGAGAAGCTCCAGTTTGTTATTCTAAACTGTTTTTGGGGGGGACTTCTTTTGCAGATAACTTGGTGAAGAACCCTGGATTCGAGGAAGGACCTCACAGGCTGCTCAACACGTCGAGCGGAGTTCTCCTCCCTCCGAAGCAAGAGGACGCCACATCCCCTCTCCCCGGCTGGATAATCGAGTCGCTGAAAGCCGTCAAGTTCATCGATGCGAAGCACTTCAATGTCCCTTCTGGGCTCGCAGCGGTTGAGCTGGTGGCGGGCAGGGAGAGTGCGATTGCACAGATCATTAGGACCATTCCGAAAGCAACATACAGCCTGACGTTCTCCGTTGGAGATGCCAAGAACGGGTGCCATGGGTCCATGATGGTTGAGGCATTTGCTGCCAAGGACACATTCAAAGCTCCCTTTGTCTCGGAAGGGAAGGGGAAGTTCAAGACAGTGAGCTTCAAGTTCACAGCCATGGAAGCGAGGACGAGAATCACTTTCTACAGCTCGTACTATCATACTAGGATTGATGATTTCGGGTCGCTCTGTGGACCTGTTATCGATCAAGTCAGAGTTATTCCAATTAAGGCTTGATTAAGCGCCATGTTTGTAGTAAGTTTGTGTCTGCTAGATCGTATTATTCCATTTGCAGGCAGGCGCACCTCAGGGATAGTGATGTTAAAGAGTATCTATCTATAATCTTATTAAAAAAAAAGATGGTTGTGAAATTTATTGGCAGCAACTGATCAGATGTGTTGTGCTCCTTTTGTCTTGATTTTAAAGGATTGTCTCCTAAAGCTCTGTTTACACTTTGCATCGTGGGGTATCTATCGTATCGGCAAAGCCTAATTATTCGCGGTCTGATTAAAATTTCCATGCTTGATTGGCGCTCCACAGTTATCTGGATCATGTTCCGGTCCAGCTGTGTTCCCCTCTCCTTAACTTTGTCATGTGAGTAGATTTGGTTAGTAACTCATATAATTAGTGCTTTGTCAAAAAAAAAAAAAAAACTCATAATTAGTGTGTTACTTTCCAATCTACATAATTATTTTCTCATTCAAATTTATGGATTATATTTGTTTTGATTTAATTGATTTAAAATTTCTTTGAAAAAATCATATATACTAATATGTTTTAAAATATACATAGTAATTGAGTCGTTTTGACGGTAGTGGAAATAGAGTTTTAGAGTTATGCCTTATAATATCAATATATATCATTTACTCTGCATTTTTACCAAACACGTATTTATACTATTTTTTATATCAAACATGTCCCTTTATTTTGGAAAACGATAAATTGCAAGGTTTGTCACTGAATCTACTAAAAAGTTTCATGTTTGGTCATTAATTTTTTTTATTCATTCATGGTCACTAACTTTATACACTCGTTTCATAAATGGTCACTTACCGTCGGCGTCCATTTCCGTTAACTTTGTTGACAGTCAAATTTCGTAGTTGACCGTTAAATGTATGACGTGGCAATTAGAAAAACTTTTTAAAATAATTTTAAAATTTCCATCACAATCATTAAAAACATTTAAAAAAACCGTTTCCCCATACGCTACCCGCTGGCGCTTCCACCTCCCACTCCCACCACGTTTCAATTTACATATATTCAATCCTCAAATAAAATATGAACGATATCAAATTTTCATATTTACAAATAGGGCTGGGAAACGGTGTGGTCTGGTACAGGTCGGACCATATATATTGTCTACGGTCCAGACCGAGAGACTAAACCACAGACCAGACCACAGACTATACGATCCAGACCATACCACGTCTGTGCAGTGTGGTCCGGTACGGTCTGATCTAGATAGACCACGCGGAACGGAAAATGAACAATTTGATTAGTCAACCACACAAAAAATTGAAACAATAGCCAAGGAAAAAATGTTTTTTTGCCTTAAACATAAATTCCAACAGGCATGGATAATTTTGACACAATAAATCTCAGTAAATAACAAAGATACAAAGTCAAAACATCCCGACTTCCACTATAACGTCATAAACATTAATATAATGTCATATGGAGACACAATCTTCTTTACTCTCTAGTGAAATGTGATTGTGAATGAATGAGGGGACGAGATTCTCAAAATTAAGATTGAGACTTGGGTATCGTTGTGGGAGTTGGGAAAGTGGTTGAGTGGAATGCTAACTCGTATTGAGAAGTCGGCTGGGTACACGGTTTGGTCCGATAAACCGCGGTTAGACCAATTCAAAACACCATATAATGCAAACCATGAACCAGACCATACTTAACTGTCTACGGTCGTGACCAAACTCTGCGGTACGATTTAGATCATGATTTTTCATACGGTCTGATATATTTTCCCAGCCCTATTTACAAACTAGCTTTTTACCCCCGTTGAGCGAATGTTTTAATCTTCTTTGGCATTTTTTCATATTTTCAAATAATTTGGGCATTCTCAATAGTTCATTAAGAATGAATTAATCTTCTTTGTCATTTTTTCATATTTTCAAATAATTTAGGCATTTTCAATAGTTTATTAAGGGATCAAAAGTAACTTTATCACTTGATAATTGTGACATTGAAGGAGAACGGGTATCCTAAATTACTAATTTCTGTATATATTTCATATTAAAAAATTGCAATACTTATTGTTAGCATACATTTCTTAAAAGTATTTTTTCATACCAGTATTAATAACTTGTTTATCTATTAAAATTTAAATCCAAACAGAACTAATACAATTCTACATTAAAATAGTAATTAGAAACTTCAAGCGACCAATTGGTACATATTCATTGACCAACGAGTACATTTTTTTTATTGTTTTCTTCACTTTATTGCAAAATGTGTTTCCTCGATTCTTATTTAGCTGCTTAGATGTTCCTATTCATCAAATGAGAGCTAGGTCAGTAATATTTTGGGTTAGTGTACTTTACATGTTAGCTTATCCTCTTTTACAATCACTTATTTAGCTGCTTAGATGTTCCTATTCATCAAATGAGAGCTAGGTCAGTAATATTTTGGGTTAGTGTACTTTACATGTTAGCTTATCCTCTCTTACAATCACATGTAACCTTTCACATTACTCGGTTTACGCTAAACGCAGCCATCATATCTAGTATAACCAAAAGGATCTAATCGTGAACTTCGTTTCCCTCCACATGCCTTATCTTAACAACTACAACATAATGGGAGGTAACTAGAACGTGGAGCGAGAGCGGGAGCAAGAGCGAGAGCGTCGAGGTTTTTTTTTTTACGGTAACCTGAATTCATTAAATATCAAGAGGAGAATTACATCGGGCCCAAAGGGGTCTGGCCCAGATCAGCCTCAAGCAGTAAAAGCAAAGAAGACGGTGGATTATCCACCCAAACCACCTGACGCTCCCAAACTCCAAGCGAGTGGGCCAACCAATGAGCAACTCCATTATTCTTTCGCGATGAGAATTTCCACACCACGCTTTCCTGACAAACTCGAATTAATCTCATCCAATTTCCAAATCTCCTCACACCATCTGCCCAGCTCAGTTCGATCTCCCTCCTTCCTAAGCTTCTGAATAAGTATCTGGCAATCTGATTCCACAATAAGGGGGCTCAATCCTCTTCTATTAGCCTCACGCAATCCCATCCAAATCGCCCTCGCCTCAGCTTCAATCGGCCTACAGACTCCCTTCTCCTTCATCGTCGTAGCCCCTCTAAACTCTCCCCTCCAGTCCCGAAGTATACAACCCAGACTAGTTCCTGCTTGCTGCAAAATCCTCGCATCCGAGTTTAATTTGAAGACACCCTCAGGCGGTGGCACCCATCTGGAGGTCGACGGAGGTCTGCCAGCCGGAGTCGAAAGGGGATTGATGACTCGATATTTGCACATGTTTTCCCCTTTGTTTCTTGATCGTTTAAGCTTGCATTATCGCTTCTTTGGCCTATTTTACGCTAGGATGTGTTCCTTTGTTACATTTCAGTTCCTAGCACATAAAGTGAAGCATAGGCGCAAGTTTCAAGTCAATCAGAGATCAATTGGCGATTCGGGAGAAGAAACTCGGGCATGACCTGAAGAAGAATGGATTTCTACCTCACTTTATAGACAAATAATCATGCAAGCTTGTCATTAAAAGAAAGAGGACGAGACTACGAGCGTCTGGGAACAAACGGCGACTGATTCGGAGTCCGGACGAGGGAGAAACGAAGCATTGAATATAGGGGAACAGGTTCGGCAGTAAAAACACGGGCGCGCCTAAATCAAAACACGGCCGTGCCCATATTTAGGCACGACCGTGTTTTGGCCGACGCGCGCGGGCGTGTTTTTAACACGGGGCAAAACACGGGCGGACAAAAGCAAAACACGGCCGTGCCCTCGACCGTGTTTTGCCCAGAATCGGGTTTTTTAACCCAAATTCGAGCCAAAGGAGAGGGAGAGCTGGGTTTTGGATCCCAAACACCCAAGGGACGAACCAAAGAGAGAGAGGGCGATTTGAGGGCATTCTTGGAGTGGAATTGGAGGATTTCTTCGCTTTGGAAGCTCGAGGAACAAGCCCGGACTTGAAGACCGATCATCTGAAGATTCTTACTGCATTCTCTCTCTTCTCTATGGAGTAACTTCCCTTCACTTAGGTTTTGAGGAACCCTAGCTATGTTTGTTTGATTGGATGATTGTATGAGTACTCTTACTTGATAATCTTGAGTTCATATTCGATCTATGCATGTTTTCATGATTCAATTCTGCTTTAGTCGATATTATTGATTCTGCTTTGATCCTATGAGAGCGAATACCTGATTAGGTCAATAGAGCACCATAGATTGATAGTATTGGATCGATTGCTTTAGTCGAGGGTTGATTCAATGCTTTGTATCGATTGAGAACCTCATTCGATAGAGGGAATCTAGTTTTGAATGCCTTGATCGGTTGTTCTAGAGAAGGATACGTCCCTCTAGGCAATTGACTCAAGAGGGCCTTGTTCCTTTAGTCGAGACTCAAGGTCTAGTCAAGGATTCTCCGCATTGTGAATGAAAGTGAAACAAGTTAGAAACCATCAATCGTTAGTCTGGCTAGTGGCTAGGGGGAATCATACCTAAGTGAGTTCCCAACCTGTAATTAGATTAACTTTAACTATAGTTTGCTAGAGTAGTTTTAGTTCTTTCATCTTAATATGGTTTGCTAAATAATAAACTGAAGCTGAGTAATAGTAACTTTAGAGACCCGTGGATTCGATATTTATTACTTGAGCCACTATACTGCAGTCCCTTTCATTGGTTACACTTGGCCATTGTTAGGAGTTAGCGAGTCAAGTTTTTGGCTCAACCTTTGTGAAATTTTGTGTGGTGTTTGTGGTCTGACCACTCTCTCCTCATGGAATGCACCGCCTGCCTCGTCCACCATCATTCACCCTTGATTTGGTAACTTCGTTCTACCCTCCTTATCTTTCCTCCATTGAGGACAATGTCGTGCTTAAGTGTGGGGGGATGTTAGATTATGTATGCGGGTGAATGTTGACTGTTTGTGTGCTTGGAGCCTAGTCCACTGTCCAAATTTTTAAATTTGAGGGCTCCAAGTACGTGTTCCTTGCAATTGCCTGCTCAGTATGCTTTGAATTGACAGTCTCTATAGTAATGTGCAACCTAGGGAGGTAGTATAGCACTATGAAGGATGTTGAAGTATAAGATTTTTCCTATCTAGCTCTCTGTTGTGCCAGTTGATTTTGTGAATTAGTGTAGCTAAGACCGTTGAATTCATGTGGTAATGGTGACTCTATTTGGATTGTGTTATGGACTCGTGTATCGAACAGGGTGCTCATGTGGAAAATGAAAAATGCAGTTGGTCCTCCATGTCAAAATCATTAAATCTTAAACATGGGGTAAGCCCAACGTGTGCGGCACCGTTCATTGCACAAAATCGGGTTTGGGAAGAGATTTTAGTGATCCTTAGTGGGGTACTCCTACAAGGTGAAGCTAAGTTGTCTCTAGTACAAGTAAAACTTCCACCCGTTGAATGGTTTGCCTACTTGAGGATGTGTTTTTAAGGGCACGGATAGAGCTTCCAGCCCCCCTTAATTTCATTGACCCTCCACACGAGTTGAGGAAAAGGAGTTAAAAGAAGTACTCTGGCGAGCGCCAGATGTACAGAAATTGCTCTTGCTCGACTAATAAGGGTCGACCATGCAAAAGACTGCAGTTGGAACCCCCGCCAAGTGAATGAAAAAGAAAAAAAAAGTAAAATGAAAGTGAAAAAGGGGTTCCAACGGTGAAATGAAGTGAAAGAGCACCTCGGTACAACGAGTCCTTGGTTGTGAATGGTGTGAGTCCCTTTATCCATGAACTGACTGTCTTACTTCTACTTCTTCTCATGGTCCTGGCTTGAGTCTAGTACTCGCATTGAGAGAGATAGGGAACGTCTTAGAAGACCAGTTGACCTCGTAAGCTGCTATATGATCTAGGAAATCCTCTACCGATGATCGGGGTTGTATGTTTCTATGGAGGTCTGGAGAGCTGCATTGGTTTGAGTTAGGTTTGCTTGGGGACAAGCAAACAGTTAAGTGTGGGGGGATTTGATGACTCGATATTTGCACATGTTTTCCCCTTTGTTTCTTGATCGTTTAAGCTTGCATTATCGCTTCTTTGGCCTATTTTACTCTAGGTTGTGTTCCTTTGTTACATTTCAGTTCCTAGCACATAAAGTGAAGCATAGGCGCAAGTTCCAAGTCAATCAGAGATCAATTGGCGATTCGGGAGAAGAAACTCGGGCATGACCTGAAGAAGAATGGATTTCTACCTCACTTTATAGACAAAGAATCATGCAAGCTTGTCATTAAAAGAAAGAGGACGAGACTATGAGCGTCTGGGATCAAACGGCGACTGATTCGGAGTCCGGACGAGGGAGAAACGAAGCATTGAATATAGGGGAACAGGTTCGGCAGTAAAAACACGGGCGCGCCTAAATCAAAACACGGCCGTGCCCATATTTAGGCACGACCGTGTTTTGGCCGACGCGCGCGGGCGTGTTTTTAACACGGGGCAAAACACGGGCGGACAAAAGCAAAACACGGCCGTGCCCTCGACCGTGTTTTGCCCAGAATCGGGTTTTTTAACCCAAATTCGAGCCAAAGGAGAGGGAGAGCTGGGTTTTGGATCCCAAACACCCAAGGGACGAACCAAAGAGAGAGAGGGCGATTTGAGGGCATTCTTGGAGTGGAATTGGAGGATTTCTTCGCTTTGGAAGCTCGAGGAACAAGCCCGGACTTGAAGACCGATCATCTGAAGATTCTTACTGCATTCTCTCTCTTCTCTATGGAGTAACTTCCCTTCACTTAGGTTTTGAGGAACCCTAGCTATGTTTGTTTGATTGGATGATTGTATGAGTACTCTTACTTGATAATCTTGAGTTCATATTCGATCTATGCATGTTTTCATGATTCAATTCTGCTTTAGTCGAGATTATTGATTCTGTTTTGATCCTATGAGAGCGAATACCTGATTAGGTCAATAGAGCACCATAGATTGATAGTATTGGATCGATTGCTTTAGTCGAGGGTTGATTCAATGCTTTGTATCGATTGAGAACCTCATTCGATAGAGGGAATCTAGTTTTGAATGCCTTGATCGGTTGTTCTAAAGAAGGATACGTCCCTCTAGGCAATTGACTCAAGAGGGCCTTGTTCCTTTAGTCGAGACTCAAGGTCTAGTCAAGGATTCTCCGCATTGTGAATGAAAGTGAAACAAGTTAGAAATCATCAATCGTTAGTCTGGCTAGTGGCTAGGGGGAATCATACCTAAGTGAGTTCCCAACCTGTAATTAGATTAACTTTAACTATAGTTTGCTAGAGTAGTTTTAGTTCTTTCATCTTAATATGGTTTGCTAAATAATAAACTGAAGCTGAGTAATAGTAACTTTAGAGACCCGTGGATTCGATATTTATTACTTGAGCCACTATACTGCAGTCCCTTTCATTGGTTACACTTGGCCATTGTTAGGAGTTAGCGAGTCAGGGATCCCGGGAATCATGAGCCTCCAGAAAGGAGTCCATCCAAGACAGAGCCCTGGGAATAATCTCTTCTTCAACAAGCTTATGGTTGTTGTTCGGCTAGTTGCATCTTTCTTTCCAAAGGTACCACATCACTGCACTTAACTGTTGGATTTCCTTAATTTCAAACTTCTTCCATACCTCCTTCAACCAATCGAGACAATATTTCCCCTCCCCAGCCTCATAAAGTTTTTCCCCTTCCCATCTGTTCCTAATCCAATTGCATTCACACAGAGCATGCATTTGGTTTTCCGGGAGGCCACAAAAAGGACAGTCTGGGCAAGCATCTTCAACCCACTCAACAATGTTGCAGCCCACAGGTAAGATATTTCTCCCAGCTCTCCATAGGAATGATCAGACTTTTGGTGGAACATTGAGTTTCAAGAGTCCCTTCCATAGCTCCATATCCTCGTCCGAGGGAATATAATGACGGAAATGATAGTCTTGCTGTTGTTCCCGAATTCTGCGATAAGCCGTTTTAACAGAGTATATTAAAGACACGTGAGTTTGGAAGAATTCAATATTTAGAGCATGAACAAAGCGTTGATATTATATTATAATTAATTACTTTTATAGAAATATTTAGACAAAATATAATTTTTTTATTATGAAAAATAGAAAAATACAATCAATAAATCCTCCAATAATATATAGTAAAATTTTGTCTACTTTTCTCTATTTCAAATTTCCTGCAACGATAGTGAAAGTAGGAAGGGAATTTTTGTCTTTATAATTAATTATTTATTCCATATAAAATATCAATATTAAGATTTGAACTTGAGTCTCTTCAAACAAATACATCAATTGCAACCAATTACACTAAACAAATTTTTTACCTTTTTTAATACAAAACACACGAAGTGACACTCTAAAAATCGGAGGACTTTTTCATCATGATTAGCAAGCCCACTAAGTCTATCTTATGTATTTTTATTGTGCTTGATATTGCAATTTTCATAGCAGAGTTTCATGTAGTTTCTCAATTCTAAAATCACTGCTCTCTCAATTTTTGCAAAGATAAATTGGTAATTGGCCAACATGGAAGAAACTAATACTATTACTACATGTTGAGTCCTTGCATTTTTCAATTAATATTTAAATTTGTACTTTTTTTTATCTTTGTTCTTATCTCTTTCTAACTCCCTCTGAAATTCCCTCCATCGTGCAATAGTTTGCGCCCCATTCACTTCACAGTACAAGCCGCCTTTGAAAATCAAGCTTCCGGTCTCTTGGCACTACAATTTTATTCTTGGGATTAAAATTAGGCAAGTAAAAGATTTCAACTGGGATATCAATCCATGGCGAATAGAATGAAGTTCAATAAATAAAGGTGCAGAAGGAAGATTAAAAATTGATTTTTTGGTTGAAACATACGCCTCTTGAGATTGAAAATAGAGTGGATGCAAATTTTATTGTACAACGGAGAGTGGTGTGGCTATTGGATCTTTAGGTATATGATTTTTGAAGCTATCGCAACCTAATTCTATCTTAAAACGATGAATTATCGATTGATTTACTGAAGTAGGTCGACCGATTCTTTATTCAACCTACTGAAACTGATAGTAGAGAAGTGTCTAATTTTGTTCTTTATTACTTTGATCGAGTCTATTAGTATATTGGAGGTAACCCTAATTTTGGTGTTTGCTCTCAAGTTGTGATGATCCCCTATTAGCTGAGTTGTTAGCTTATAGTTTATTTGAATCAACAACTCTCCATTTCTTTTATATTAGTGGCATATTCTTCCTAAAAGGAGATCATTGGAGCCCTTATGTATAGGATCGCGAGGTTTAAGATTTAGTTTCAAACTATTTATAGTTTGTAAGGAAATTTTAGTGAATTTTTATACTCTATCTTTCTTGACATTCAACTAACCAATAGCATTTTGCTGGAACTTAATTATCATTATGAAAACTCGTAACAGCTGAAGTCCACTTTTTTTTTCAACACTTACGAATGGTTTACGCATTGGGGGAGAGAACTCGTAGCAGTTGAAGTCCACTTTTTTTTCGCACAGACGAGTTTTGTCAACGCATCTGTTCTCTGTTGAAAATATCTAGCACAGGGAACTACTACTACAACTGTGTGAATACTGAATACTGAATACTGAATACAACTCCAAGACAATGTACTGGAACAAGGAAACGAGTGTTGTGTTTCCTACCCAGTTCGGGACCAAACAATCTTCTCTTAGGCATCACTTCCGTCGAACTCACTGTCGAAGTCGTAATCCTCCTCTGTAGCTGGTTCCTCGTCACTCTCAGAATCGCTCACCACGTACGCCGCCTGACGGCGGTTGCCTCTCTGCGGCCGAGCTCTTGCCGCCGGCTGAACATTTTCAGCAGCAGCCTCTGATGATGCAGAAGCCGGTGAAATTTCGTCAATTGCACTCAGCGAAGCTTCATTAGCAACAGCCTTGCCCAACACGGAACCACTCTTCTTGTTGAAAGGCGATTCCCTCATCTTCCTCACCTTCTTCTCTGGCGATATTCCTTCACCCTCCGCAGGCTTGAACATGTCAGGCAGAAGCTTCTGTTGGGCCTGCTTTCCCGCAGGACCTCTCTTCTTTGCGGGCGCTTTGGTTGCTTTTGCATTTGCAGCTGCTGCAGGCTTCCTTCCTCCTTTCTTGGCTGGTGCAACTGCCACCACCTGTTCATCAGAGTCATCATCCAGGTCTACCACCTTGTCCGCCACAGCAACCTTCCTAGCTCCGCCTCTTTTCTTGGGCTCTTTCTCTGTTGCTGCCGGTACATCAGCGTCCATGGCTGCAGGGGGAGGGTGTAACCAGCATGCATTAGCACTAACCAAACTAGCATACATCTAAAGAAGTCCCCTTTAGATTGCAGGCTGAACACAAATTATTAGCTCACCCGAAGAGTTTTCTGGGGAGGAATCAAGCCTGTAAGCTTTCAAGCGATCCTTTAACGACTCTACATCATCCTCGTCACTGTCATCTGCTGCTGGTTGTTTTCCCTGTTGTTGACATAGAACCAGCTCAATATTATCAGAGAAAAGTCATTGTGGAGGATATACATACTGTATGTGTATGGCCTAGTAGTGTGGCATGAAAGAGCAAAGTTTACCTTCTTAGCAGGAGCTTTCTTTGTGGCTGCCTTTGCTTTTGGTTTCACGACCGGAACAGATTCATCTGACAAAATAATAAACACGGTAAGAATTAGTTTTGAGTACCAGCTGCAACGGAGAAATCAGAGGCAGTTCCAATGTATTTATCCCACCTGGCTGCTTACTTGTATCCATTGCGGAACTCGACAGTTTCAGCCTTTCCAGATCTTCTTCCACACTCTTAGGCTTTGGGTTGTTCTTTACTATCTTCCTTGCCCCGACTTTTGGGGCAACAACACGGGTCTGTTTCGCCCGAGGTCTTAGCTTTCTGTCCATATCTTCTTGTGCCTCGAGCTCCTGAACATTTATATATATATATATATATATATATATATATATATATATATATATATATATATATATATATATCACACCCAAAAGTCACAGGAAAGGTACAACGAGATCAGAAAGAAATTTAAATGCTTGTGTTGCCAAGAAACTTACGTTGAGTTGCTTGTCAAAAGCATCTAGGTCATGTATCCACAAGTCCTTCACTGACATCTTTCGCAGCATATCAACTTCGCCTTTGAGTTTGTCTCTGTCTTCAAGTAGCTTCTGTACCTTCTCATATGTCAAGGTTGCAATAGCCATTGACAATAAGTAGTCATAATCACTTGCTCGGATTCCAGAAGCATTCACAGGATCAGTGTCGTCATTTTCCTCATTTTCTTCACTTGTCTCTGAAGCCGCAGCTGATTTAGACTTCACAGGCATTGGAGTGAAACCTTTCTGGTGCAGCTCTGCTATCAGCCCAGCTTTCTTCCTATTGTTCACTACGATCTCACCACTCACCACTGCCAGAATAAACCTGACCTTATTTTCCAGTCGCAGTAACTCCATCTCAAGAGCTGCCAACTTTGCTTTCTGCATTCGTAACAAATGAGCAACAGTTGTTAAGCAGACCAAGAACTGAGCCGTTATTAATTCTCCTGGGTAGGAGAGGCCCTATAGAAGCTGTTAAGGATGCAATTTTACCTTCCTCTTGTCGTAGTAATCAAGTCTCAAGTGGAAGAATTCCTCAATCACTGTGGACAGTGAAACAAGCAAAGAATCATGTGAGATCATATTTGTACTATAGGAAGAAGAAATTCACCCAAAACAGGAATTATAGGATTCAAAACCTTGTTCAGGATTATCGTATTTCTTGATTTTGCCTGCGGGGTCGAAAAGGTGCATGTTACTCGTATTTATAGAGCTTGTCAATTTAAATTTCTTCAGCAAACCCTCATTCCTGGCAAGTTGCATCTTCTCTTCGGAAAGTGTAATGTCAAACTCAAATGCATAGTCATCGCCCTGCTCCTTGAATCCCTGGCACCAACCACGTCACTAGGGATTAGCAACCAGAAACGGAACAGAATAAGATGTTCTCAGCTCAAAGAACACAAACCTTTATCAGCGGTTCCTTGGGAAGGTTTCCGTTCTCATCTTTAAGCCCTTCTGTGACTGATTTCAGAAACTCCCTGAAATTCTCGGTCCAGGTACGGATTGGCAACTCTGTTACTCTGACCGTTGTTTCATCAATCTCTTCAACGACTCCATTAGATGTGTAGCTGACCCCATTATCCTTTGCTGAACCTCTTACAATTGTGCCTCTGAATCCTTTGTACCAAGGCTCCATGGGCTCCATCATTTCATCATTCAACAACCTCCTTATATTGGCCACGATATCTCTGGGATTATAATTAGGGATGAAGGTGCTCCACCCAGTGCCAATTCCTTCACTTCCGTTCACCAGAACCATAGGCAATATCGGCATGTACCTGAAAGAAAGGTGTCAGCAAGCTTATATGGGGTCATCTATTTTTGTCGCGTTCACTTGTCTGCATGATAGACGCAGAGATTTACCATGTTGGTTCAATGGATTGTCCATCGTCTTCCAGGTAGTCGAGAATGCAATCGTCGTCCTTGGGGAAAAGGAACCTTGTTATAATTGAAAGGCAAGTATGGATGTACCTTGCACTTGCAGCATTCTTCCCACCCTGTGAAGACACATGAAAAACTTGGTTGGCTATAACTGAGGGTAACTAGTTCCATTTAGCTTAATCCCAACTTTGATATGGACGAAATGACTTACATTGGCTCGAGTACCAAAATTTCCTGCTGGTACGAATAGGTTGATGTTGTTGCTGCCAACAAAATTCTGTGCCATTCCAACAATCGTACTGCAGAGACTTTGCTCCCCATGATGGTAAGCGCTTTGCTCAGATACGTAACCAATAAACTGTGAAAGCTTTAATTCTTTGACAAGATTCTTCTTGAAAGCAGCATAAAGGATCTTCCTTTGCCCTGGCTTCAGGCCATCAACCATTGAAGGGATAGACCTTTGAAGATCGGCAACAGAAAACAAAATAAGCTCTTTGTTAATGAAATCACTGTACTTTATGAGCTGGGCTGTCTGATCAAGGTGAGTTCCAGGCTGCAAAAGAATACCACATCATGAACAGGCGGGAAGATAAAAGAAAATTGCACGAAAATGACAGGGAAGGAAAAGCTGCAAGTCAGCACAACTAATATGCACGGAAGTCCAACCTCATATTGCCTAATCCAGTCTTTCCTGGCTTCAATCTTCTTCTTGCTGAACGCAAGCTCTATAGCATTTCCATCATCGTCATCCACCCACCTAAAATCCTTCTTGTGCTTACCAAGATCACTGAAGTACTCCTTTCCTTCCTTATCCGTACTGGTCCCCAGCCCCTGTAACCAATAGCAGCATGAATGAAGCAGAACGAGAAGATTCTATGAGGCATGCAACTTAAGGAAGCCAAGTAGTGGACCTTATAATACTTAATGCTCCAGCTGCTTTTTGCAGCTCCAAGGTTCTCAGCCCAGGACTTGTACTCAGGCATCGTATAGAAGCACAAAACCTGGCCTCTTTTGCTAGTTGCCTGCATGAATAGATAGACTGATCGTCAAGAATATGTAAGAGGGAAAAGAAAACAAAAATCTCCTACTAAACGGCATGCATGCTCTTTGTTTATACTCGACCCACCTTCACAATGGGAGTTATAAACTCAACCATGAAGGAAGGAACTCTAAGCAATGACGGCCAGAAAGAATGTATGAAGTTGATCAGCAAGCCTTTAATATGAGAACCATCATGATCCTGTACAACAAAAGGTAAACAGGTAAACCTCTTGTCAGCAAGTGACAGCTGTAAGCATCTCCAAACCTGGCCAGCTGATGAAGATACAAATAATTAATAATTAACTATAGAAAATGGACAATGCGGCACTACACCTGATCTGTCATAATCATCATATGACCGTATCTCAACGACTTGACATCCTCATATTGTTTATCCTGTCTCAACCCCAGTATCTTCTTTAGGTGCTGAATTTCCTTGTTTTCATTCAGCTGTTTAACGGTGGCTTCCCGCACATTGAGCAACTTGCCCCGTAATGGAAACACACCGTAGTAGTCCCGACCCACTATAGAGAGTCCAGCAACCTGAATCAATGCAGAACTGTTAAAAAAAAAAAAGAGGTTCACTCATCCAAACTAAATCACAGACTAAATCAAAACTTACGGCCAAGCCCTTTGCTGAATCTCCTTCTGTCAAGATTAGTGTACACTTATGGGAGTTCTTCCCACCAGCCTCATTAGCATCTTCTAGCTTTGGAACATTGATCCGAGATGTTTTAGCTCCGTCAGTTTTCTTCAGCTCTTTTTGCTGCTTAAACTGCGCCCAGCTGAGGAGATTCTCCACAATCTCAGACTTCACCACTGAAAGAAGTGAATCAAACCAGACATATAATTAGCTAACACAGCAGGAGGATGAGCAAAAAGTAATTGTGAAATGTGGCATCAACAACGAACCCTTCTTTAAAAGGTCTTCAGAAACCAAACAAGTAGACCCGAAACTGCTCTGGCGCAACGTTAGAGTTTCCTTAGTTTGAGAGTCAAAGGCAGGATTGTCAATGAGAGCATTCACGAAGACCCATAGATAGTTCTTCACATTATGGGCTTTAACGTTAGCATTCTTGTGCTTCTTATTTACAACTTCGGTCACATATCCTGTGATCTGATTAGTGACACAATCAACATGGGTACCGCCCTTGATTGTGGCAATAGAATTGACGAAGCTGACCTGAACAGAACGACCAGAATAATGAGATTACCAAAAGCACCAATGTAGGATAGATGATAATTCTGGGAATCGATCATTGTTAAAAACTGAGTACACATCCAAAGAAGCATAATTTATGATGTGGCAATAACCTGCTGAAATTGCCCCTCGGTAATGCTGACACAAAACTCCCACCTGTCTCCACTCTTCTCATAGAAGCTGCAAGAAGTTGGCCGCATATTAGTCTAATCGAAAATCAAAAAACATGTATATGAGATAAATAGGCTGCAATCTAGATCATATTAAGCATGAGATATGTAGAGGATCACCATTGACGACGTGTTCCAGATTCAGAGACAGAATCAAGATAGAGATTGACGTAGTCCTGAAATGACTTCACCGGAATTAGGCTGTCATTTAACTCAACCTTCACGCCTTTTCCCAGGCAGCCAGCCATATCAACTACCCTTTTCATCATCAGTGCAACCACGTCATCTTCGAGATGGCTCATGTTAAACTTGGCTAAATCCGGCTTGAATGAAACCTTTGTCCAATTTTCGCCTGCCTTGCACTTGGTTATTTCAGGCTCCGATTTCGTGCCCATGTTGTCAGAGAAAACCTACACATTCAGGAGAAACGCAAAGATGAAGAAAACAACTACCCAATCAAGTAAGAACTAGCTTAGTTTATTACTGCTAAAGGGTACCCAAAACCCTAACTCTCGACCCACAACACATGAGATTTCTACTAACGCAAATCCCAGATTAGACAGGAAATTTTTTTAACAATCAACAGAAATCAGTAAAACGACGAACCTGCTTATACTTCTTCAGCCTCTTCCCATCGGCTGTCTCAATAACGAACTCGGTGGAGAATATATTTGTTAGCTTAGCTCCATATCCATTTCTCCCACCAGTCGTCTTCTTCTCCGTGTCATCGTAGTTGCTGCTAGTCAACAAGTGGCCAAAAATCAGCTCCGGCACATACACACCTTCCTCTTTGTGAACCTCTACGGGAACACCGTCCCCATTGTTGTAAACGCTGACAAGGTTATTCTCCACGTCAATCGCGACCTTCAAGGAGTTCATCTTGGGATCCCTTTGCTTGTTATCCGCCGCATTAACCAAGATCTCATCGAAGATCTTGTACAGCCCAGGCACGTAAGAGACAGAGCGATTCACCATGCGTCCGTCCTCATAGACCCAGAGAGTCTGGGTGTGCTTCTCGATTGACCCGATGTAGGTGTCCGGCCGGAGGAGGATGTGCTCCAATTGCGTCTTCTTCTGATACATTTCCTCGATGGTCTTCTGCGGGCCGTTGACCGACGGATCCGCGGCGAGATTCGCATTGTTGCTGGTCATCAGCGGCCCCTTCTTGCTCCCCGCCATGATTCCGGATCCCTAAGGAGATTTTAGGGTTTGGTGAGAACCGAATAGCTGAAGAGGATAAGATCTGCAGTCTCTGGGGTTATTTAGGGTTGGAAGAGTGATGAGATTAAAGGGTTTCGATTGGAGCTTGGAGGGGAGGGGATTAGTAGAGAGATTAGAGTAGAGACACAGAGATAGTGTCCATGTAGAAAGGCAAGACGAGAAATCAAGGTAGACATATAAAGGGGAAGGAATGGGGAACGGTCAAGATGAATGGCGACTGGAATTATTTTTTGAATTTGAACAGTTGAGCGGGAACACTGAAATTTCAAATGAACGGTGGAGATGTTGATCGGGTGGTTTAGGACTCTCTTGTACTTGGATTGGGGCCGGCCACTAGCGGTGGGCATTCGGTCGGTTCGGTTTCGATCTAACCAAAATTATGAATACCGGGTTTCCGAATTCTCCCAAATCTCAAACCGAATTCGGTTTTTCACACAAAACCAAATTTGTGAAGCTACTTGTATTTTCTCACTTTTAAATTATTTTTCACCCCTAATATAAACAATAAATATCAATTATATGCATCATCAATGATAAAACCAAACTTTTCAACACATAAATCTTAAAATATTTCAAATATTTAAGTCTAAAAACAACTACAAACATAAAAATCCACCACTTGGAGCTTACAATTATAGTATTTCGGTTTTTCGGTCAGAAAAATTCGGTTCGGTTGAAAGAATCCTGATTTCCGAACTATCTATATTTTCCTTCCGAATTCCGAACCGAATAGCATTAATTCGGTTTCGATTCGGTTTAATTCGGTTTCGGTTCGGTTCGGCCCGAACCGTTTGCCCACCCCTACCGGCCACTACGGGTGACAAGTAGGAAGTGTGGTTAATAGTTAAGTAAATACTCCGTTTATTAAACGTATATGTACTCATACGTATTTTATTCGTTTAAAATTTTTGTATCCGTATTATTGTCAAACCGTTTCATTTTTATTAGTTCATTTGATGGCTCCCATATGAAACAAGTATAAAACTCATATAACACGTTTAATATCTGTATTTAATGAATTAAATTATTAACTTCACCATTATTTGTATATATATTTATTTTTAAAATAATTAATTTTATATATTTATGACTATTAACGTACTATTAAGCGTAATATTAGCATAGAGACAAAGTAAAATATCTTTACATATTTTATACGTAACTTTCTCATATCGTATTTTACTAGTTATGGTGGTTATCACAGGGCTGGAAGTTTGGTACCGGTATTTGGGATATACCGAATATTGTACCGAATTTATCATTATTTGCTATTACCGAATACTGGTTTATGTTTTAGGGATTGAAATTGTGATTCATTTCGGAGTGCTATTCGGTATTCAGGATAACGAGATTGGGATCGGTATATACCAAAATACCGAGAAATATAAAAAATTAAAAATTAATGAAATATAATACACAACCTTTGGTCATTCCTTACTCTTTCACAACTTAGAAGCTCACATCCAACTCAATTTTGACTTTTCCAGTTTAAGCCACTCTCATCCCTCACCTAATCTCTTGTTATTTTCATAACACAAAAAAGCAAACACTAGTATTAGTTGTATCTTAGCCTACAATTCGTCAAATTAAGATTACGAATCACAAGAATTTGAGATGTCACCTCTCGTTCATTCTTCTTATCCATATCCTAGCTCTAGGCAAACTCAAGACTCTTTGCTTAGTCTCTTTGCCCTAAATTAAACAATGAAATCTCATTTATATATTTAATAATTAATGGCAAGTGTATTTAATTTCGTATTCGATAATACAGATTGGGATACCGAAGTACCGATTGGGATAACGAAATATTTAGGGATTGAGATTGGGATACCGAAATTATTTAGGGATTGAGATTGTGATTGATTTTAGAGTGTAATTCGGTATTTAGGTATTTGGTATTATGATACGAATACCGTACCGATTTTCAACCCTAGTTTTCAAGCCGGTTACTCGAACCTAATTTAATTGTTGTCGGTCATGAAATATGCATGATCAAATTACGGCCTTTAAATAAAAGGGTTAATACTTAATACCTTTTTATGGTCCGAACTAAATTTATATAATCAACTTTGGTCAATGATTTTATAAATTGCTATCCTAACCTCAACTATACACCATATAGACTCAATTGACCTAATTCGAGAATTTCCGTCAAATTAGACGATCAACATCATTGACAGTTAGTGAATCAACATATTATGCTGACGTGGATGTCACGTAGAAAATATAAATTTAATAATAAAATAAAAAGATAAACGGAAAATAAAATAAAAAACACCTTTTCTTTCCCCACTCGCCAAATCGATCCCCAATAAATCCAAGTCGAGTACAAGACTTGGAACATCGTCAAAACACCACACAAGTATAAAATTCGAAAAATTGGATAATTTCCCAATGACAAACTCATAGCAACCTAGCTCATGCTAAAACTCATGGTTTGATGATAAGAATGCATTTTAGCATAAATTGGACTACATTGTGGCCCAACACATGATGATTTAGCACACAAATACCATGGAGGCTAAGAGGTCGTTTGGAAGTTGTGATTTCAAATGGTGTATTGATCTAATTCATGTATTTGTGAGATTAAGTCGTTTTTTTGGTTTATATAGAACTAGAATACATGCATTTACTTTTTGGAGGCCCCACCACAATCACTCAATATTGAGGGATTTACAATCTCTACTTTTTGTTGAGATTCTTCGCAATCACTCAATACTAACTTTTTTACCTTTGGAACAAAACACGGTCGTTTGGTAGTTGTGATTCTTCAAATTGATGTATTAGGTCAATTAGTGTATTATCATTTGATGTATTGATTCAATGCATGTATTAGGAAAATACTTTGTTTGGAAGGGCAATGATGAAACAAAAAGTAGGTAGACAATCCCTCATTAACAATCTCACCTTTTAGTAGAGATTTATAATCATTCATTTTGAGTGATTGTAGGTGGGCCCAACAAAAAGGTAATGCATGCATTCTAACTCAAAGTGAACCAAAAAAACGACTTAATCTTATCATTACATGTATTTGCTAAATACCTCACTTCAAATCTCAACCTCCAAACAAGATATTTACCTAATACATCAATTGATTCAATCCATCAAATGATAATACACTTATAATTGTCCCAATACATCAATTTAAAGAATCACAACTTCCAAACAACCCCTAAATAACACAACTTTAGCTGTTATAAAGTAACCGCTTTCTCTTTTCGAAAGAAAAGGTCAAAAAATGTGTTCGTAACGATCTATTATTTGATGTTAATAATGTGAATCGTATCGGTACTCTAGAAGAGATTCCTAAATCAATTAATTGCTTAAAGAAAAAATTGAAATAAAGGAATAAGATGATCATTGTGGATAAGGAAGGTAACCAAAACATAGGATGACATTCACTGGATCAATCAATCGCAGACTATAGGCAACCAAAACATGCAAAATGAGGTTTCTGGAAAAGCTGAAGATGAGAAGAAGCACCTATTGAGAAATCACATTGAACTTGAATAAAATGGAAGCAAAAGAGCTGGAAAAGGTTGTTTCTATGTTTGTTTCACTTGTTGCCCTTTCAAACGAACTGCTTTCATCCGATTCATTCACTGCTAATCAACATAGCGAGAAAAGATAAATTGCAGATTCTGTACAGGTTACAGTTAGCAGGAGGGCGGAAGGAAAAGCAAGAAAGACTAGTGAATTGGAAAAGACCAAACATACCTGCTACATCTTCAAATTAAAGCTAAGCTACTACAGCCACTTGGCGTCAGCATGCTACACAATTCCAACAAGCCAAGTTCATCCATCTCTAAACAGTTCTGCCTTCCTTCTCTTTTTTCCTGTGATCATTGATACTGCAAACCTTGGCCGCAAACACTCTGCTGCTTCATTCATCACATGGCAAGATTCCGTTTGGTAGCTTCCATTTTCAACAGTAGGTCCTTGATATCCGCTTCCATCCTCATCTTCATGCCAAAATACTCCCTGTGGGACCTTTCTAGCGTCTGGAATTCCTGGAGCTTCTGCTTGCGCAATTCTTCAGTCTCAATGACCCGCAGTTTGGCAATCCTGCTTGCATACTCCCCTTCAATCTTTTCATTCTTTGCAGTAGCGATCCGTCTCAAGCCGTCAGCTTCTCTTCTTGCATCATCTGCTCTAGCTTGGAACATTTGTGCTTCTGCTTGTTTTATTCTCACTATGCCTTCCAGCTCATCAAAACCTGGCTCTTTCAAGCTACTACTTCTTCGCAACTCGGAAGTCTCAAGTGGGCGTTTATCATTCAAATCAGCAGGAAAAGTAGTAGGAAGCAGAAGACTAGAGGATCTCTCCAGTTTAGGACCATTCTCCAAAGTTGACTTTCGCCAATGTCCATCCTGATTAGGCCCAGCACTACTACTTCCACTCCCTTGTTCCTTACTAGTAGTTGTATAAACAGCAGCACTTGTGAACTTGGAAGAATCACCATCTGAGATCACCAAATCAGAAAAGATATGGTCAGCAAGAACTAAGAGTGAAAATAGAAAGGTTTTACTAATATTGCAGCAAGTCCACCACCTACCATTTAGGAAGGCTGTGATATAGCTATGAACTTGTCGAAGGTTAGCCTTGTTTGCCATTTTTGCCAGCATCTGATCGGCAATCTCATGGAGCCGTCTCCCTCTCACATCCTTGCTACCACTAAAAATTCTTTTCACATACTCGAGCTCCTTGCACAATGTTTCTGCAGTCCATTCTTTGGCAAAGTTCTGAAATACCTCCTTCACGAAACCAAACATCTCGGATGGATGATCACAAGCAACACAGTGGAACTGCATCTCGGTAGTCTCCCCTCGAACTTCCCCAATTGTAGGGCTCCTTCCATTTCTAATGTAAGACTCACGCAATGCACAGTCAGCATGACACCAATGAAGACAAACATCACAACCAACCCAGCTACAAGTATTTGATGCCATGTCAAACTTTAAGCATACCAGACACATGCAAGTGCTGCAAAACCCATTCTTCTTTGAACAAATTTTGCAGTCACACTCGTCTACAGGTAAAGGACTCCTACAGGTGATATTTCGGCATCTTAGGTTCAAGAAAACCTCGGCCAAATCAGACGATGAAACAACACCATTGTCCACTTTAAGATATTCCACATGTCCAGTTTTCAAAGCAACCAGGATCTCCAGCTGTGCCTTATGGCACTTTAATAGGGTATCCAATGTCAAGTCTGATCTGTTGTGGAGAGCGGACTGAAATGCACATAACTGGCCCTGCCTATCAGCATTAAGCATGATCTCACAGATGCTCTCCTTCAAACAAGATGCAGACTGTGCTGTCATTTCATGGAACTTTCTGGCCATAACATGGATGGGATCAGACACTATCCTGCTGATGACAGTCTCCACAAAATCAGCACCACCTATCAAAAAACGTTCTTCTTTCTGACTATTACTCCTGTACATGCTACTGGAATGCTTTCCCCTTGCAGCTTGCTTCTTGTCATAGCTATAGGTAGGGGCCATATCTTGAGAAGCGAGGCTCTGGGACTGGGATCTAGTGTCATCATAGTTCCTTGCCGAGACCCCAGATAACTGCTTATGCAAACTCATCTGTCGTCCAAGACCATTTCCATCTGACGTTTTAAAGCTTCCATTCACTGCTTGACCATTCGGCACACTCTGATGTAGAGATCCATTACCATTGATCAAAATTTTCTGGTACAACGAACTCTCCTTGTTCTTTGAATCATTTTGATTCTGGGCCTGCCAATCAATTCCCTGAAATAGGGGACGGCTGTGAACAGATTGTTCATAATTGTCGAGATCCAATGAATTATGAGTTAGTGAACAGCTTGGGTTGTGAAAAAACGACTGTGATCCAGAACAAGACATTGATGCAGTAAATCCATCAGAGTTTGTCCGGAATGTGCTGAAAGACTGAAAACTTCTTGTCTGGCTAGGAGAGCAAGGGGCTTGTGTAGTATCTTTGGAAGCTCCAATTGGTAACAGTACATTGGGTAAGCTGAGAGAGAGATCGAGTGGCTCTAAAACGAGCCTTTCATCTTTCTGTTTGCTAGCACCAGAGTGCTCCTCTTTCTCCACTCTCCTAATAGGAGAGTTACTGAACAGCTCAAATCCCCGAATACTCGGTCCCTCCATATCATCGTCCCTACCCCCAAAAGAAGGGGCACTTAGTTCTGTTTCTGTCCACGGAGCATCAGTCACATGTGCAGTTGAAACAACCACATTCTTACCTTTACTTTTCAAGTTCTGAGCCAAATTCTGAGTGACAAAAATGGCATTAAGTTCAGCCCCTGCATTGTCCCCAACCACTTCAACTTTTGACTCTTGTACATCAGCTTCCGCCATCTTAGCCTCAAGATTGAATACATTCCCCTCTGTACTCTTTCTATTCAAGTCCACAGCTTCCTTCATAGACTTAGCTTGACCACTCCCCTCCTTGCATTCACTCTGCTGCTCCAAATTCATGACATCCTCAGTTCCTTCAGAAACCTCACCTTTGAGCCCATCAACATAAAGGCTGTTTTCCTTCTTCACATTGCTCTCGTGATTTGACATCTTGACACCTGCCTTATCCACATCATTCATCTCAGGCATACTAGCTTTCTGTGGCTCATCAGTTTTGGCTACTTCATCCTCTCGTTCATTCACTCCAGTGTCAACCTCCACATCCGACTTGGCATCATTTACTCGTAGCTTTTCAACTCCATTCTCATCTTCATGTACAACCTCCTGATTCGAGTCACGCTCTGGCTCAAGCTCACCTTCCTCCATCTCAGTGCTGCTGCGAGTCTGGATACTCTTTACCTCCATTTCAACATTCCACCTCTCCACTTCAACACTCCGTGTTCCAACTTCAGCACTTATTGCCTCAACTTCAACACTCTTCTTCCCCGCCTCCACACTTTTTGATTGTTCACTGCCTGACTCTTTTGACCATGTAGGGGATGACCTCGACTTAGAAGTTGAAGACCTGCCCTTTCCTTCATCCCTATCGCTGCCCCTGAATATCTTTGACTGCTCGCTACCTGAGTCTCGAGACCAAGTTGGCGACTTGATCTCCCTCAAACCTTTAGGAGAAAACCTAGCTGCAGAAGCCATTCTCTCCTCATTCCCAATTCTGCTCCCTCTGCCCTCCCCAAAATCCTTGCTCTCACTGCCAAACCTCCTCCATGAAGACACACTCCCTTCTCTTCGGGAGCGGTCCCTCTCTGACCTAAATCCTTTGGGGAACTCCCTCCGGGACCCTGAGAAACTCTCTGATCGATGAATGGTTCGATCAGCACTAACTCCACAACTACTGCTACCACCTCCTCCACTGTTGTAGCCTTCTCTACCTGCATACCTATCAAACCCAGAACCCAATCCTTTCCTTCTATCGAAGCTATCATAATCGTAATCAGTACGCTTGCGTACCAACCTCAAGTTGTCTCGACCATCGGCATCAATAGATTTATCCTGATCATACCTGCTGGAGGGAGATGAAGTTGTCACTAACCGCTTCCTCACACCATCAGGTTTGTAATAATCGCTTCGCGAAGAGGATCGACTCATGCTCAAATCTTTAAGGGGGCTCTTTTCACAGTAGAAATCAAGATAATCACTTGATCTTAGGCTCCGTCGTGAAAGACTCCTTTCCTCCCCGAGATGAAAGAGCAGGTATGGCTTCCACAACAATGACAAAAACTTAAAACAGGAAGTGTAGAGTTTGAAACCCTAAAAACCGGGGCCAAGTTTTCCAATAATATCCTTATTACGAAGGTTTCAATGAAGCCCGAACTTAAGGTCTTGAGGAACAGGATGAATTATTGGAATGACTACAAGTCTAGAACTACAACAACAACAACAACAACGCCGTTGCCACAACCAACAACCATGTACATACTACATAGGACAAAGGCTAGGGTTTTGAAATTGCAACCAATTTGGGATCTGGAAATAGGGCAGACTCAATCCCATGTGGAATTTAGAGAAACTAAGGTACAAAAGCTGCTGCTCCACGGATCCCTTTAAACAAAGACAACTGAAAGAAGATAACCCGCCAAATCCTCAAGCAAAGCAGACGCTTTTTGCCCAACACTTCTCATCAATAAATTTACAGATTCAAACAACCCGACGTCAAAAGCAGGCGACTGCTTTACTCACACAAAGCCCGACAAGGTAAATCTGCTGCTATGTTTCGAACAAGACCATAGAAGGAAAGCCACGACTTCGAGCTTAGGACCCAGAGCAGGAATTGGACAATACCAGGCAAGACGGTGAGTGAAGGAGAAGGAGCCTGCAGGCGTGGCGGGTGAAGGAGAAGGGGTGGAGATTGGGAGGAGGAACAAGGAAGAACGGAGAAAAGATGAGTTTATGGTTGGGAGGAAACGGAAGGAAGGAATAGATTGGATGTGTTGTTCCTTCTAGTCAACGATGTTATTCAAAGATAATAGAAAATTATTATTCCTTTCTCTTTTCTTTTGACAATTTTTTTTCTTCTCCTTTCTCTATGAGTCTAGTGCATCCGTCCGGATTGGAACAAACCGGAGTGCGGTCCAATAATAAATCAATTTGGTACGATTTAAATGTCAAATTGGTTTATATTTCTTAGGTATTTTTAGAATGGGTTAGTATCATACTACCAAAAAAAAAAAAAAAAGAATGGGTTAGTATCTTAGTTTGGCCCGAACTATACACATACTTTCTATTTTGGTTCGTGGTATTGGAAATTGTTGTTCTGTCCTTAACTATATAGCAAACTTCCTCATTTGGCCTGGAGGCGGGGTTGACCGTTAGTCAATGTACACCTCACTTGCCACGTCAGTGAGCAGAGAAATAAAAAAATTATTTTTTTAAATTCTTTATTTTTTCCCCTTTCTTATAATATAACAATAATAAATGAAAAACAATAATTATAAAAAAATAAATAAATGAAAAACAATAGTAAATGAAAAAAATAAAAGCCCCCAAATAACTTTCCTCCACTCGCATCCATCTTCACCCAGCAAAATTGAAAAGAGTAACCACCATCCACCATGTCCCCAACCCTACAGAACCACCAGAGCTCGCCCTCCGCCGCTCACAAATCCATCGCCAAAAACGTCGCCGCCACGACCACTAGCTCGACAACCTTCGATTGGATCTCTGAGTCAATCAATGGCGGATCCCTCCGCCCACGTGAACCTCGAGATCAGACCAACGGCTGGGCTTCACCCCTAGGTAACCTATTCTCCTTCCGCTCCACCAATTACTTCACCAAGAAATCGAAATCCCGCGGCGGCGACTACCTTCTCCACCCCTGGCGGCGACTACCTCCTTCGTCCTCACCGTGAACCTCCCCGGGAAGGAGCCGCAGAACGTCGTCTTCTACTTCGCCTCCCCAGATCAGCTCCTCCAGGGGAGCCTGCTCGAAAATTTGTTCAACGACGACGAGGAGTACCGGAACCAGCGGTTCAAGATCGTGAATCGGATAGTTAAGATGGTGGAGAATCACAGCGCGTGCTTGCTGGGGAAGGCACTCACCTGCAATTACCACAAGGGGCGAACTATCTGCAGATAGACGACGACATCGGGAGCTCTGCCATCGCCACCGCGGTCCTGCACCTCGCGCTGGGGTGCGTGACGAGTGTGACCATTTGGGGGTTTTGGTGGAGGCGCAGGGGAGGGGAGGTGATATATTGGGGGCTTTATTTAATTTTTTTTGTTTATTAATGTTATTATAAGAAAGGAAAAAGAAAACAGAATTTCAAAAAATAATTTTTTTATTTCCTGCTCGCTGACGTGGCAGGTGAGGTGTACATTGACTAACGGTCAATAGGTTTGACCGTCTAATTTGACGGTCAAGCCCGCCTCCAGGCCAAATGAGGAAGTTTGCTACATAGTTCAGACCAGAATAGCAATTTCCAATACCACGGGCCAAAGTAGAAAGTATGTGTATAGTTCAGGCCAAACTAAGGTATTAACCCTTTTAAAATTTATACAACCAAGAACCATATTAGATTATATTTATTTTGGTATGATCGATCCAATACAAATCAAACTGTTGCACACTCCCAATTGTGCGTCTCCTCATAATTATTAATTGTCGTATTTTTCCGTAAAAATGTATTTAAATTATGTTCAATCTTTATTAGAATATATAATGTTCCAATACGGCTATGGTTCCACCAATATATTCTATTAGTACATCATCAAATGGTCATTGGAGATCATATTCAATAAGCTTTTTTGGACGATTTGGATTTAATGGCTCCCTTAAGTGATGGATAAGGGAAAAGGGAAGACTCGGCTCAGCCTAGGGCGATAAGCTTGCCCCTAGATACCCACTAACCTGCCTTGACCTGACCCGACCTTGAAAGTTAGACTGGCTCGGTTTGTCAACAGGGTCAGCTTAGGATTAGATCAACTTAGGGTTAGGTCATGATTCGTTCCTAACTACTATCCCAACAGAAGGCCAAGTATAACCATCGATCGGGTGTAGTATAGCGGAGGTAAGCTTTAGTTATTGATCACGACTATTGTGCTTGTCTTAAATGCACGGGGCTGAACTAACTACCCCATCTTGAGCCAAGTATAACTCAAAATGGCGTTGCTAGTACAGTGGGTGACCAATGTCGTATTCCATGGGTTCTCGATATCTTAGGTCACTTTTCACTCGGTTGTTATCTAGTCAATGAGGTTTTGGGTTGGTTGGAAAACAATTGGTAATGGCAATGAAAGCAAAAATAAGAAAGCAGGTACCCGGGGTACCGGCCTCGCCCTAGTTACTAGGTATGTCATTCAAAAGATTAGAATTGTCGGTTTATGGGAAATGAAGCATGAGAATCACTAATATAAGAGCTAGCTCAATGATCATGAGACTAACCCCCTCCTAATTTGATCCATAGACCCAATCTTAACTCATTGAGATTCACGAATTAGGGATACACTATATTCCTTTTCAATGGGTTGCACCCATTTTCACAATAGGTCGATATGTCGATGGTCATGCACATACCATTCTGGCATCACCTAGGTGGGCGTCCAAGTTGGCAGGGGATGATCACCTTGTCCACCAACTAGTTCCTAAATAATCATTTGCGCAAATCATGCCAAGATCGCTCAATCCACAACACCTTCAATCAAATCCTAACTAGGCAATCAAAGATAACATATGGAGACACAAGTACAAAGCATCATATATAGATGCATAAAAACACTACGCAAACACATTCCATTCATAAAATCAAGCAAAAATTCCTCTTACATTACAAAACCTAAAACTAGGGTTTGGAGGAAAAATGCCCCTAGTACCTTGAGTGACTACCCCATAAAGGGGAGAAGAAAATACATGAAAGACTAGGAAAGAAGAATCGAGATGGGGAACTTCTTGGGGAGAATCCCTTTTTTTTCTTCTTCTTCTCCTTCCTTCAGGTTCTCTCACTAAACTCTCTCTACAAACCAAAAATGGATCAAGTGTCTAAACTCTCTTTGTAATAGAGGAGAGGTCGTCTATTCATAGACTTCGGGAGCATGCACAAGTTCGCGGGCAAAAGCTCAGAGATCGCGGGCGTGATCTTCAATGAAGAGGTCACAATCTGGAAATGACATCGTTCTGCTTTTGCTGATTTGGGAGATCGTGGGTTGAACTCACAGTCGCAATTCGGAAGCAGCACCCGCGATCTTTATCACAGTCTCGAATGAGGAAGGTTGTGATTCGACTGTCGAAACCTCATATCCCTGCTTGGCTGCTACTTCTCCTAGTTCATGGTCGAGCCCTCCAAGAACGCGGTTATGATCTTTCTCCAGAGGCCGCGATCTTTGGTTGAAGTTTGAAAGCTCCTCTTCTCGGCCATGATCTTTGGCCTTCTGTCGTGATCTCCCTGTTTAGTTCTGAATCTTACACTTGTGCCCTGTTTTGGTGCCTAAAATGCAAGTATTGCTTAATGCACCCTAATACGACATGAAATGCTTTGAAGAATGAATTTGAGATGCGATTCACAATATATTAACTATGAAGTCCAAAGAATGACTTGAAAACACCTAGAATATGGAGGCTAAATAACACCAACTTGGTTGTTATCAATTATCAACACACGCTGCAAATCTACCATTATTTCATGAACTATTTGTTATCTAGCAAATTGAGTTTTGGTTTTAACTAATCAACTAACATGCAAAGCAAGTAAAGATTGGTTGAAATCTATTGAGAGAAAGTCACTCAAGAATGCTTCCATCTAGCCACAAATTAGACCGAACTGATGAACCTTGCTTGCCACTCGAGATTTATACCACGAAGACTCTTACATCCGCTTGAACTCCCTATTCGAGTTATCAAAGCTTACGTTTGATGAACTATCTAGAGGGAGAGTTTCCACATCCGGAAAAATAGAACGCCTAAGGTATGCAATTTAGACTCCCACTAAAGGATAATGATCAAATACGACATTCTAGTCCAATATCACGCTTGATCAATCGACCCACAATGAAGAATTGAGAAATTACTCTAATCAACCTAATCGGATATTCTCTACCTTAGGTTAATAGCTGAAATTTGAGAGTTTGATCAATACCCAAACCAATTCCATGAAATACCTCAATTCAATATATAATAAACTAATCAAGAGTGCAAATAAGCATAGAAATCATTCATTCATCTAATCTAAACATACATAGCTAGAGTTATACACACCCAAGTGAATATGGGTCTACACCATAGTAAGAGAAAGAGGAAGAATAAAAAAACTCAAGAAGAAAAATATTAATAGGATGATTTCTTCTTCTAGAGTTCCAATCTTCACTCCTTGGGTGGAATTTTTGCCTCCGATTGGGAATTGAACCCTGTGACTCACCACCTAAGGCTCCATGTTCGCCACCTCTCTCTCTCTCTCTAGAAGGTTGCTACTGCTTTCTCTCGCTAAACATCATCCTCTTTCAACCGTGACATTGACAAGTAAACCGTGACGACTACCAGAAGTGCGCCTTTCATTTACACAACTCACGGTTTTAGTGTAAATGTCACGGTTAGAACTGTGACTTCTTCTAGCTCCCACGACCTGTAGCTTGGCTCCTGAAACCTTGTAATTTTCACGGCCTCTTCATGCAACTCATGGTCTGGCCGTAACTTTCTGATGTGAACTGTGACTTTTGCACTTTCTTCACTTTGTCACAATTTTGACTCCAAATGGCCAGACAATCTTTCATTTTGCCATATTCACCTGCCAAAAACCTTATGCATAGAACAACAAGCAAGTAATAAATCCTAGAAGTGCCTAGGGTCATATTACACAAGTTCTTTTGGTAGTACCTACTCAAAACTAATGTTTGTGTTCAAATAAGAGAATGAAATCGAAAGTAAAAACAATGGGTTGAGGTGCCCTTGGTCGAATTCTATCCTACCAGAATAAATAAAGGGAGCAAAGCAAGTAAGTAAGACTATTTTTTAGGTAGTGTTATCTAGATAATGATGCATACAATCTCATCAACAAAATGCTTCAATGCATCATATATTATGATACCCTATCCCTTACACTAATGCATTCCTAACCAAGTTGTTGCTTCATGCGAAAGGAACAATAACTAGCTAATGCATGCTTTCACTTCATGCCATCACATAGCTAATTAAGGAAAAGGATGTAAGGTTAACATATAGTTAAGTATGGGTGTCTTGAGCCATAACAATGGTATATAGCATTGATCTCCTATATACATGCATAATTGCATCCAACTAAGAAAGCATACATGAGTCAATATATCACAAGAAAGTAGTGTCCTAACATCCTATATGGTATTATAAAAATGCATATAGTAGCACATATAGAGATAAAAGTATTGATGGTTAAAGCATAGAATGACATAGGGCATCAATGATATAAATAATAGATGCACAAAGCATTGTGAATACAATATAGAATCTAAAGATACAAGCATTGATGGACTAGAGTGATGAATGAAATAAACATCTCATTAAATCATATAAAGATATGTGATCATCACAAAACTCACACCCCTAAACACTAAAGAGCTAGCACATTACAAGAGAGAAGGAATACATCACCAATGATACATAATAGATGGTGGCGCTTCCTCCGGCAGAACTTCCCCTCTCTAATCCAAACTAACTCGTGCCTAATGGAACATAGTGTTTGTAAAAGGTAAATGTAAATCTCTAGCCTATGCCTCTATTTATAGTACATGATAGTGGGCGTATTCTAGGGGTTTTCCTCCAACAAGTCGACCAAAACCTTCTTTGTACGAGTGAGACTCAAACTTTTTGCCTTGGGGATGAAGTAAGTCCTTCTAGAAGCTTTTATGGGCTTTGACTCTCAAAGGCAGTCCTACGGCAACACCCACCACCATCCTTTGCTTCTTAGACTAGGTTGCTTGTAGACCAAGTAACTTCTCCTGCTAATTTGGGCAGGACTCGATCATCTTTGGGTTTGCGGCGGTTGGACTCATTCTGAGGATGCTATCAATTCATTCTCTGGTTTGGGTTGAGTTTCCTCCAATAAGCGTCCTTTGGGCTTAAATAGAGACTCACTAGGCTTTTCCTACATTGGGCTTCATCTAATAGGTAAAAAA